TATAAAACGTGTTCATAAGTGAGACAGATATTGGTTTGCATAAGTGAACTGGTCATTGTTCATTTAAGGGCAGTACATTGTTCACAAGTAAATAAAAAAGTGTCAATAATTAAATAAGTAACTGATCGTATGTAGATATAAGAAACTATTCGTGTAAAAACCTATTCATAAATGAAATATATATATATATATATATATATATTATTTTTATAAAATGTTCATAACTAAAAACGTATATTTTTATTTATAATTGAAAACTACCCCCAAAAGTTGTTATATACTATTTCATGAGTGAAACATTTAATTGGTGAACAAGATTTAGTTGTGAACAAGATTCGAATTTTTGAAACTTTCCCTGAAGATGTGGAGAAATTACCAGGATGATTGTAATAATTTTGTTGGTTGTATTTTTAGTAATAAGTATTTTATTAATTAATAATTATTTCATTAGTCAAATTTATATATACTACTAACCCGTCAATCTAGCTTAACACGTCCAAACCGTAAGAGTTGAGTTAGTTATACTTTTAAATATGTTGGGTTGGGTTGAGATTTTTCAAACCGTCATAATTGACATGGGTTGTATAAATGTCTCAAACCATCCAAAACAACCCATAGATACCCGTACATATAACATAATCATATATATTATGTTCATATTTCATTTCTCAAACTTCTCATGAAATATGTATCTCTCATATGACAACCTTTTTTATATATATATAGAGAGAGAGAGGGGTTGGTTCAAATACTAACCAAAACTATTGTGCAAACTATGCTAACCAACATCAACCAATCATGTTCCATCTTTTAGTTAGGTTCAAATGTAACTCACATATTAATTGTAAGGGTATTTAGATAATTTATCATTCTTATGTAACTCCCAAATATTTTAATTGGGAGTTACAAATCTTAAAATATCACTAATTGATCTTCATGTAATAATGACATTAAGTTTCACATGTGTTCATCTTACTGAATTTTACATTTATTATTCCTATAATGGTTTTGATATTGTAAATTTGAAAAAAATCCTTTTTGTAAAGATTCCGTTATAGCCCGAGTAATATGGATAATCATAGAGTAAAACGGATCGACGACAATGAGAATGAAAAAGCTAAAAGCGTCTACGAATACATTCGGAATTCGAATTCCGAAAGTGAAGAAAATRATCAATAAGTGTCCCAATATGAACATACAATAGCTATGAACACGTTAGTGTGAACACGCCTACATTAAAGATTTGAGTTCGGGATGACAAACAATATACATTCTTTACTAAGTTTTGAATTTCAGTAAATCCACATCCTTGTTGCTCTTTTTAATTATTAACTTTGTGTAATAATAGTTTTAGTTTTGAAGACTAACTACATAGGGGCTGTTCATTATGTTCATTAAAGATTTGACTTTGGGATGACAAACAATATACATTCTTCACTAAGTTTTCAATTTCAGTAAATTCACATCCTTGTTGCTCTTTTTAATTATCTACTTTGTGTAATAATAGTTTTAGTTTTGTTACTGTTTTATGTCATATAGCACAAATCATATCATGCTTATATAGGAGCTGTTCATTATGTTCATTGTGCTATATTACTTGATTTGATCACACACATAGCGATTACATTTTTCATACTATGATGCATTAAGACATTTGTGCATAGACACACATATATTAACAGATATCAATTCAGCACAAATAACACAGACATAGACGTTGGGATTCGTTACTGTTTTATGTCATATTGCTGATGTTCATTAGGTTCACAAATCCAAACTTGTATGTATTTGTGAAGTGTTRCGTGTGTGTGATGTTCATTAGGTTCACACATCCAAACTTGTATGCATTTCGCCAAAATCTTCCATCGTTTTGATGTATATTATGAACCAGATTTTTCGCTAATGATATACACTATTGATCGTATAGATTGGCAGTTTCGTAGTTGATTAGAGGTTATGAAATCGTCTGAATAATATAGGTTCACGATGTGATGCAATTTTTTTTACAAAATTACTGTGATAACCAGGCTTTCAGACATATTCGGTTAAGGTATATTATGTGTTTATGTGTTAAGAAGCATGAATTAATTGGAAGTATGTGATTATGCATGCTAAATAAAATGGATTATATGTGTATGTGTTGTGAATGATTTTTGTCCACATAATTGGAAGCAACATACAAGCACCTTGGTAAGCAGCTTGTATGATGCTGCTGAATGATTT